ATATATATGTATACATGCAAGTATATACATACGTATGCATTTACGATATTGGTCGAATGAGACTGAAAGCAAAGGAAAGGAGTAAAACAAAAACATACTCCATCCTCGCTGTCGTTTTGTGCGTTATGGGTTGCATCTTTGGTAGGACGGTTGTTGTAAGCCTATTATATGAACTTAGTCTTAGTATGTGTATCATACACACGGATACAACTATCAACGCGTACTCCCTTCTCTCTAGGATATATATACAATAAAGCGGTGGTTGACACGGCAGTCATTCATAGCTGTACACAGTATAGAACTAGAGATACATATATATAAAATATAAATGACTCAAAGTCAGACCTTCTGTCAGACAATGTATCAGATTCATCAGAAATCAGGAGTCATGTGTCATACTTGTGTCATGCTTTTCATAGTTCCCGCCCATTGTGCACAAGTTATTTTGTTCTGTAGAGAGCAATAAGAATTGAGATAATAGAACTGAAACTCAATGAAAATTAGTATTAAATTTAACTTGGCGACAAAGGTATAATTTAATTGAACGATATACCTGATTTGTTTAATATTGCCCTAATAAATATGGCAAAAATATGATATTAATATACGATAACAGGTGGATATTGCACAATACCAGCACGTGTTGACCACATCAATTTTATTAACCTCTTGACATAGCTAGTAAAGCGGTAAATATGTTTTATATTATATTTTATACCATTCGTCCGTCTCTACGGCTATGGATGTATGCATCCAACTCCTCTAGTATTAAATTATATAGTGCTTACTAACAAGAAGCAAAGGGAGCGATCTATATGGTGATAGGTGTTCTGAAGTAGTTGAATGTTTTCACGCACGCCTAAGCTTATTGGAGTTGTCTGTAGCCAGCGCTCTACCCAAACTGCTCAGCTCGGGTCAGTTGCGCTCACTAGTTTTCCTGCATTTAGATGCAATACATCTAGGAATACGCACACATTTACATATGGATACAAAGGAATATCGCATTATCCAAAATCGTACGCATGTATATCTAGACACACACACACACACACATCTACCCCTCACACAACGGATACTCTCTCCGGCCAATTCAAGCAGTCACAGATCGGTAATTTATTAGGCCTGGGCAGTTCCAAAGAGATGTCTGATACACTAACACCTGCGATGCAGGAAAGCTCGCCTAAGCGAGTCAAGATTGACACCGATGCCGGAAGCAATGTCGTTTCTAGTACTGGTATGTGCGTTAACTGCATCTCGTGGTATTCTAGTATAGCCAACTCGATATATATCACAATCACTTGGTGTGCACTGATATGATCATTTATGATACGTACATTAGGGAAACATTATGAACACCCACATAAACACCAACATCCACACCCGCACACCCGCACACCCGCACACCCCACACTTACACCTGCCCGTCCTCTCCTACCGAAACACATGCAGACACCCACACCCACACCCACATCCACACACCCACATACATACATATATATGTATATCTTGATATGTATATATATATACACGCACACACACATATATATATACATACATAGATGTGTATATAAATATATATATATATATGTATATATATATACACACACACACACACACACACAC